AAATAATTGCAATTGAAAAAAACCAGAGGTAAAAAAAAACTGATAAATTCAACCACATAGAACAAAACAGATTGAAAAAAAATTGAAGAAAACTCAAGTGAGATAAGGAAATCAAAGGCGAGGAGAAACCAGATAAAGAAGAGAGAAAAAATCCAATGTCAAAACACACACACAAAAAAAGGAATTTAAGGACAGCCGTTTATATGGAAAGTTGCACTGATTGTTTTAAGCGCAATCTTAAGTAATACAACAATATTTTCAAATAAGTTTCGTTTTTTTTCTGCTTGGTGCGGGAGAAAAGAACTATATCTGAAGTAAAATTAGAAAAGAACTAAATCAAAAATAGAGCTTGTGCATTCTCGACAGCCATAGTACAATGAGCAAATTAAAAACATTTTTAGGAGAAAAACTACTAGAAAAACAAAAAAAATCAAAGTAAAAATCTGAGTTTGTTTTTTCATTTTTGAGGTTTTTGTTTTCAAAAAGGAGCTGAAAGCTCAAAAAATTAGTTTTATTCTTGGAGAACTAAGTTTTCACGGCTTAAATTAAGATAATGTAAGCTATAAAACTACTAAAATAAACTTTTCTAGACCTGCTTGCCCACTTTTTTCGCTCGAAAAAAATTGTAAACCGGTTTTTCTCAATACTGGCCCATTTGTTTTGAATTTTTTTATAGTTTGTTCGAGTTACGACTGAAAGAACTTTTATACATCACTTGACCCATTCCTATGTTTGTTTGTGGTACCTGGTTTTGCGTAAAAAACAAAAAAAGAAAAACATAAAAAAACACCCGAATAAAAGTTTCCTCTCCAATCATCAAAGGGTCGGAACAACAAGAATAAGAAAGTAGAGATGAAGACAGTCGGTCAAAGGAAACAAACAGATAATAAAATAAAACAGATAGAAAAGAAAGGAAAAAAAACGCAACACAGGGTGTTTTTGAAACACGTGTTTTACAAATTAGCTCTTATTTCACAAATACTTAAGCTATTGAACCCATTCTTTTTGTAATACATAGCAAAACTTTGCCGAATTGTATGGCTTGATGTTTGTTTCACTGCACTTTGTGCTAAATAAGTTTATGCAGGGCTGTTTTACAGCAACCGGTCGATACATTTAAGTGAAAGTTGAGGAAGAAAACAGGGTCAAATAGTGAACAAAATAATTCCGAAAAGGATAAAAACTATCCCAAAAAGAATGGTTTTAATAGCTTAAGTATCAGTGAAATGCGAGATAATCTCTAAATAAAACAAATTTTGAAAACGTCATTTAGAACAAAATTTCAGAAGTGATAAAACCAATTAAAAATATAGTTATAGAAATTAAAAAATGAAAAAATCAATGGAAAAAGACAAGTGAAACAATAGTCGTCACTCGAGTAAATGAAAACAACCCATGCGCGAAATAAGATCTGGGCGAAACAAATGAAGAAAATTTTCTTCTTGTACAACTAAGTTTTCACGGCTTAAACTAAGATAATGTAAGCTATTAAACTATTAACATAAACTATTCTAAGCCTGCTCGCTCACTTTATTCGCTCGAAAAAAAATGTGAACCGGTTTTTCTCATTACAGGCAATTTTTTTGAATTTTAAAAAAAAATTGTTCGAATTACGACTGAAATAACTTTTATATGAAACATCATTTGACTCATTCTTACGATTGTTTGTGGTACATGGTTTTGCGTGGGAACGAGATCATTACAAAGATTTTAAAAAAAGAACAAAAAGTTCCTCTCCAATCATCAAAGGGTCGGAATAACAAGTTTAAGAAAGTAGAGATGAAGACAGATGGTTGAAGGAAAAAAACGTGAGATAGAGGCAAATTAAAAAAAAATGAGATGCCGAAAAAAAGGAAAAAACAAAGGAAAAAACCGCAATACAGGGTGTTTTTGAAGCACGTGTTTTACAAATCAACTCTTTTTTTCACAAATTATTAAGCTATTGAACCCATTCTTTTTGCGATAGATAGCAAAACTTTGCTGAGCTATATGGCTTGCTGTTTGTTTTACTGCACTTTGTGCCAAACAAGTTTATACACGGTTGCTTTACAGTAACCGGTCGACAGATTTAAGTGAAAGTTGAGGAAGAAAACAAAGTCAAATAGTGAGCGAAATGTTTCCTAAAAGAATAAAAACTATCACAAAAAGAATGGCTTCAATAGCTTAAGTATCAGTGAAATGCGAGATAATCTCTAAATGGAACAAATTTTGAAAACATCATTTAGAAAAAATTTCAGAAATGAAAAAAAAAGAAATAAACTCGACAAATTAAAAGTTTAGATACAGAATTTAAAAAAGGAACAAATCAATGAAAAAGCGATAGTAAAACAATAGTCGTCAATCAAGTAAAGGAAAACACCCCATGGGAGAAATCAGATCTGAGCGAAAGAAAGGAAGAAAATCCAGCTGAAGAAAAGACAGATGACAAATAACCAGATGAAGAACAAGCAGTTGAGGAAAATCTTGATATCAGAAGTTCAGATAAAGACAAAACAGATAAAAAACAATTCAGATACAGAAAGATGAGACCAAGAAAAAATATTAAAAACGAGATAATAAAAGATCAAAAAAGAAATTAAATCAAGAAAACAGATTAACAAAATTAAGGATGCACTCTCCAGATGAAACTGAACCAGAAAACGTGATAGAGAAAAACAGAACAAAAAAGATGGGATTTAGAAAACCCAGATGAAAACAAAAAGAACAGATGATAAATTAAACAAGCGCAGATGATAAAAACACATTTCTTGAAAAATCAGATCAAGACAAACCAAATTGAGAAAAAAAGCTGACTAAAACCATATGGCAAAATCACTTGTTAAGGGAAATCAGATAAAGAAAAACCAGATGAGAAACAATTCAGATTTAAAAAAATAGACTATGAAAATAAAAGGTTATAAAAACAACATGATAAAAAATAAAAACAAAAAAAAATAAATAAATCAAGAAATCATATGAGCAAAAAATAAGGACGAAATCCTCAGATGAAAAGAAACCACAAAAAAGTGATAGAGAAAAAACAATTAAAAAAACCAAAAAAAACATAGATAATATTAGCCAAAGCCTGATGAAAACAGTAAGAACGAACGACAAACTAAGCAAACTCAGATAATGAAATCAAGATTGTTGAAAAATTAGATAAAATTAGATCAAGACAACCAGATGAAGAGAAGTAGCTTCCAAAAACCATATGACAAAAATATGGAAAAAATTAGAAAGGGAGCAAAACTAGCGGTAAAAACAAAGGTGAAAACATACAAGGTAAAGGCACAAGATTGAGATAAAAACAGACTAAAAGAAACAAAAAGAAAAGACTACAGAAGTAAAAATTCAGATACAAAGAAATAAGATGAAATTCCAGACAAAGATAGCTATATCATATAAACAACTGAGGAAAACAGAAATGCTGAAGACCTAGATGGAGAAAAACCAGATGTAGAAATCCAATTTTAAAATAAAATAGATGAAAAGCTTATCAAAGAAAACGTATATGAAGAAAACCTTGTTTCCTTGGTTCGTCTAAGGTTTAAAGCAATCATAGTTTTAGTTTATTATTCCAATTTTTGTGGAAAGTGGGGAAATTATGAAAACTCGGGATGTTTTTTTTATGCAGACGAAGTTTTTAAAGAATAAATGCACTCTCAAGGAATCGATCAATGCATATGCGAGACCCTGTCGTGTGCGCATACCACTCTAATCTAATAATTTGACCCAAGCAACCAACACTCAGCTTGTTTTACACTTTGATTCTGAATAAATCGGCCTTACAAAATTGGTTCAATTTGAATTGTTGTTGGTCCTATGAATTCCATATAATACTCAAATTTTAACAATTAACCTTTGATATTATCAGCCTAAACTCAGAACTTGCAAATTTTCTCCAAATTAAAAATTATTCAAGACCAGTTAAATGGTAGTCGGAACATTCAGGACTTCGCCCTGGTACGAGCAGTCTTGTTATAATATAGGCCAAGTTGATTATATAAGCATGAGTAGTTTCGACTAATATTAATTTAACAAACAAGTTGAATCAATTACTTGTTGATCGGCTTAAAGTTGATTCGAAGACTTTTTATAATTTTAAAATTTAGTATTAACATTTTTGTAAAACCAATTAGATATTTTCATTTAAAGTAATTGTGAAATTTATTTGAACCCATATAACAAACGCGACAAAAAACGCGAATTTTAAAAATCAAAAGAAGACAAACCAGGTGAAAAAAAGAAATGTATACAAAAGGCGGAAAGGTACTAACAAAACCTAGGTTTAAAAAATAATGTAGAAATTTTAGATTAAGAGGTCACATTACTATTATAGAACTAATCTGACTTAAGAACCTATGTGGCAGTTCTTCTGTGAGATTTCAAGTTTCGCTTTGGCCTGTGGCTTTTTATTATCCAGGGCTATTGTGTTTGGAATCAAACCTAAAACTAATAGAACATAAATTAAGGAGAAAATATGATCGGTTATGAAAAAAACATTAGCCATATACTCTGTCAATTAAGAACGCTAGTGATGCAATTGCATAGTTTGAGAAAATGCTAGTCACAGATTTTTCAAGAAAAAAAATTTAAAATACGGAAGGTATGCGAAAGTTTATGGGATTGACTGACTCGAAGTTTTTGTCAACCCGATTTTTTTGTCAGTTTAATTTACTGGTTCGTTTTTTCAAACAAAAATTCTTTTAAATTTAAATCCAGGTAAATATGAGCCAATCAAAATTTTGAGCTGCACCAACATTTTCACCTCAACATTTCTACAACCACGCCATGAAAAATTGTCAAAATTGAATCCCTCAGTGGTTAGGTGTAAAATAAATCAGAGAATAATTTGTCGCTTTGTCATTTACAGTTCATTGCAGTCTCCTCAATAATTGGCTTCCATATTCTCAGTTGTGCCAAAAAAATTTCAAAATTAACAAAATTAGTCTTGTAATCCACAAAACATCTTTTGAAACAATCGCAACGATTATATGTTTGGAGCCAAAAAAGAAGCGAAAATGAATTCAACTGAATCTGTAACTGAATTCAATGTAACTGCAGCTGACGAGCAGGAGGGGTTTCCCTGGGCGAAGGGGACAGACTACTTGTGTCTCTATGGCATGGTTGTCACCTGTCTCGGCTTCCTCCTCAACTATATCTGCTTTGTGACTGTCGGCCACATGCCCTCCTCCAACAGTGCATATCTGATGAGGATTCTGGCTGTTTGGGACTCTATTGGAGCCATGGCCGATGGAATTCTCCATCTCGGTCTCCGATACTTCAACGTCATGATTGCAAACTTCAATGTTAGTTAAGTTGACGATTATCAAAACGAAATCAAAAACTTTGTCAAGTTTTATTTAGTTTGACCAAATTGATATTTTGAGCTCTCCAAAATTATTTAAAAAAACACTGTTTCGCCAAACTTTTCAGAGCCGCAGACGTGCACGTGTCTGGAAACTTTGAGCATTTTTTTGAAATATGCCTCCTCCCTCTCAAAAGCTATTCAGAAACGCACCCCACCAACTGCTCATGCGGAAAAATTTTACGGCTGGTAACCAAAAAAATTAAATGTAAGCAAGGATATTCGGTTAGTGTGCAAAAGGCACAGAATGTTCCGACTACAGTCTTAAAAAACAACAAAAGTGTTGTTTTTTTTTGGAATTAGTGTCATATTTTTTGGTGTGATAAAAGGAGCTGAACGAAAAAAGCAATTGGAAAAAAATGACTAGAAAAACGAACTAAATATATTCCAAAAATGTTTATTTTTTATTCAGTTTCTTGAATTTGTGTAGTTTTGATTCAAAAAAGGCGCTAGAACGCTCAAAAGAACTAAGTTACTTGAGTAAAACTAAGTTTTTACATTTCAGATTTAGCTATTGTAAGCATTTAAACTGTTAAAACAAGCTACTCTAAGCTTTGAATTAAGACGAAAAGCCAAAAGTTTCAAACCGGCTTCTCCCGACACTGGGAAATTTTTAATGCAATTTAAAACTGCTTTTTATGTCGTTCGAATCACGACTGCAAGGTCTTAAATTTTATATATCATTCACCTCTCTCCGATGATTTATGCGTGTTAGCTGACTTTGCGCGAAAAACAAAAGAGCAAATAAAAGAAAAAAAAAAACTAAAACAAATACAAACTCTAATACAAAGTCCCCCCCCCCCCCCGCAGTTTTCAAATGGTCGGAACAATGAGTTCAAAAGGGGCTCTTTGGGTAGTGAGATGTGTGAACTCTAAAACCCTATAAATCCACTTCTGCATAACACGCAATCTTCCAATTTTTCCAACCATTTAAGTTGAACAAGGGAGAAGTGCTACTTCAGAACTGGGAGTTGTCTTCTCGCAATAGAATACAATGCAGATCCGTGGTTGTTGTTGTTGCATAACTTAGCAATTCTGTCAGATCCGTGTTCAAATTCATCTGAAAAATAGTTTGAAACGCGGTTCTAATCTTTTTGCGAGTAGGAATTAATTAAAAAACAATCCTTTTTTTTGTATCATCCAAATTAATGTTGAGAGCTTCCGCATATCCCAAATAACGCGAAAAAACTTTCGCTTTTCAGAACTTGAAACTTTTTGGGTGTGTTTGGGTCTTTTTTCTCTCTCCGCTGTGCGAGTTTTGACAAAAAGGGTCATAACAGGCAGCTGTTGTACACATTATTTCGGAGGGGGAGGTTTAAGAGGTAAAGGGGTCGAATTTCTTGAGCGGGGGGATGGAGGGAGCTTGACTTTTTTAACTTTATTTCGCCGCTATCTTCAATTAACAATTTTTTGAAGGTTAGATTGATAATTACATGATTATCTTCTGATGAAAAGACTAGAAAATATGAATTGAAAACGTGAGTTTTTCTAGGCTACAATCTGCAAGCTGTTCTATTTCCACTCGTATGGGAGCAGCATTGCCTGCAACTACCTCATGGTGGCCCTGGCTATGGACCGATTGGTGGCCATAAAATTCCCATTCGTCCATAGAAACAACTCGTCAATCAAAGTGGCCATGATTATTGGCTCAGGCTGTGTATGTTTTGCGTATTTCATTTCTCTACCGGTCTTATATTTTTTCGACTTGAACGACGATGAATTATGCGTGATGCTGGCCCAAAATGTTCCAACTCTCTTAGACTACTACAGCGTGATCTCAAACCATATTTTCTTTTTCGGACTGCCCTTTTCACTCATAGTTTTCGCAAACATATTTTTCATTCGAGAGCTTCAACATCGCAAATCGGCTATGCGAAAGTCGGCGGGGACGACAGCCGGCAACGACGAACAAGCGAAGCGAAAACTGAGAGCCGAGAAAAGTTACATAGTCATGCTGATGTTTCTGACGGGGTCGTTTCTCGTGTTCTCGTTGAGCGTCGCGGTCTTCAACCTTCTCGGCATCCAGATCGCTCTCAACGACGAATACACCCAGGAACAAGCGAACTTCTTCGCAGTGATGGCTGAAAACTGCATGATCATGAACAACTCTCTTAACTTCTTGTTTTACTTCATGAGTGGTGAAATGTTCCGAACTGCGTTGAAAGCTGCTTGGAAAAAAGGATTCATTTACTCGAAAGGCTAAACTGAGTTGTCTGATCTTATTAACTACCCATCACTATTGAAAAGGGGAGGGGTAAAACTTTAGTAAGGTACAAAAATTGTGTATATCGTGAGTCCTGCAATTAGTGCTTAGTACGGGGAGAATTTTGTAACTCTTTTCACAATATAAGGGGGGCAGGGAAAGAGTGAATAAGATCCGAACAGTCAATACGATAATATTTATTGAAATAATTACTATGAAAAATATCAAATAAAGATAAAGAATTCATGAAAATACTAGTTGTTGAAATTTTATGATTTAGTTTCTTAAAAAGTGAATTATGACCAGCGTATCATAACTGTCATTGCCTGAAAAATATCCCGAAATATTTTTTAAACTTAATTTTTTTAAAAACTGCTATGTATTTGTGCATGTGAAGTGTCACCATTTTGTCACCATTTTCAAATAAACAGTTTTGAACAGTAAATGATAACTTTGTGAATTGAAAATTATTTAAGTTCTTTAAAATTTTGAGGTAGTTGAATTGTCCAAAAAACCGGACCTTAATCTAAACAATACAATTAGGGGAAGCCATTTAACAGGTTTCCCCTGAAATAAAAAAGAAAGATATGTGTTTATCTTTTAGACAAAACATGACAGAAAAATCAACAGTTTATTTAGTATAACCCCTAAAATTGCTGGATAATTGTTTTTCCTGGATGGCTAATTTTCTGTATCTTTTTTATGAAAAGATAAACTTACATGAGCGCCTAGCTTAGATCCTTAGCTTTCCACTAAATAATTTTATGTCGAAGGTTTCGAATTGCTTCTTGTGTTCAGGACAACCTCAAACTCTTCCTGGCTAGTTTATGGTTGAAATATAGAACATATTTATGCAACAAAAGAGGAAATAATAGATACTATTAAAACAGACAATGCAAGGAAACTTCAGAAACGCGAGAAAACTTCAAAATAAAAAACCTGAATACAAATCAGAGAAAAAATCAAAAAGAAAGTTTATATTTTATGTATCAAGCTTTTAGAAATAGTTGAGGTGGAAATGAACTAAAGCGAACGGTTTGGTTCGAATATTGAGTTTTTAGATAAACATTTTGTCTTTTTGTACTTGAATTTGCGTTAGGTGGGAGGATTTGTGAAAAAAAAACTTTGATTATCTTTCAGCAAAGACTACTTCAAATAACTCAAGGGGCAGTCAAAAAATTGTTTGTTTGATTGATACTGAAAAAGCGTCTATATTCTGTTTTGAAAAAAAGACAAGACTGCTCGTATCAGGGCGAAGCCCTGAATGTTCCGATTGCCTTTTAAGATTTCTGGGGCCGTAAAAACATTAAAAAGTTAAATGTAATAAAAACCAAAATGAAAAAAAAATCTAAAATTTGATTTTTTTTTTGAAAACTATCCCCCCACACGCCATATAAAGTACAAAATGATAGTTTTCGCTCCTTGTAACAAATCAATTATGGTAAATAAGCTTCTTTTTTTCAACCCATTTGGAACGATTTATAAGACGGATTAAATCTCCGCTTACGCGTTAATAGCGCGAAACATATCGAGCGTTAATTGTCCCAAATTGGCCAAATTGGCAATCTTTAAACCCTCGTAACTTCAAGAAAAATAGTCACAGGTGAAATATCTTTTCAAATTTGAGCTTAGGACAACAATACTTTTTGAATGAAATAAAAAAATCCGTCAAAAATGGCTAGTTAAAAAGTCGAAATTTGTCTGAAGAAAAAAAACCCCACCCCGAGCACAAATATTCCGTCACTTTTGTATCGAAAGTCGGAACAATAACCAGTTTTGTATCATAATCTATCACAATTCCAAGCATATACTCAAGTAGTTGAAAAGAAAATGACAGAAAAAAATTAAAAAAACCGCTTCAAAAATGAACGTTAGTTCATATCATGAACGTTAGTTCATATCTCTTGTAAAACCGCTAGTTCATATCACCGCTTGAATAATGAACGCTGCAACTTCAATGTCGTGTTTTCTAATAATTAACTGAACTATTTCTTAAACTTTTCAACAGATATTGATGCCCGGGCTCAAATTAACCTACTACGCCTTAATTTATTTCCTGTAAAATTTTTATTAAACACCTCTGATGATTTCATTCAATATGTCAGAAAGCCTACAGACACTTCAGCTGACACGTTGTTTCAAATTTAGAAAACATGGAAGTTTGAAACATATTTAGGACGAACTCATCCTCGGCCTGTCTAAAAAAAGGTTAAAATTATGGAACGATTCTGTGGAAGTAAAAAAAATTCATGGACGAATAACTGAAGAGTAAATCATAGATACTAAAAAAAAACATTCTATCCAACAAAAAACAATAAAGTCAAAACTTGATTACCAGAGCGAAAAAAGAAAATAAAAAAAGATTCGTTTCTTATGTTTCGAGTTTTTAGAAATAAGGGAGGCAAATTAAACTGAGGCGAACAATTTGGTCAAATAAGTGGAATCGATTTCAGACAAAAATTGTCACTTTGAGCTAAAACCTGCTTGATGCTGAAAGAAATGTAAAAACTAAATCGAGGTTTCTTTAAGAAAGTTTGATATTTTTTTTGCAAAGACTAATTCAAATAACTTAAAGAGCAGAAAAAACTTAAAGGGCAGAAAGTGCAACTTAATGTGCAGGAAAAACTTATAGGCAGAAAAATTTAGAGGGCAGAAAGTGCAGGAAAAACTTAAAGGGCAGAAAAAACTTAGAGGGCACAAAGTACAGGAAAAATTTAAAGGGCAGAAAAAACTTAAGGGGCAGAAAGTACAGGAAAATCTTAAAGGGCAAAAAGGGCAGGAAAAATTTGAAGGACAGATAGGGCTGGAAAAAAACTGAACTCAATGTTTAGATTTTCATGGAATATGTCAACCATTTTCAAGAAAATGTATACCTGTTTTTCGGAGTTTTTTGAACAGAATATGAAACATTCTTTTGGCACCTTTTTTTCAATTCCGCAGTTACGTTTATAACTTCCACGCACTTTTAATTATTGGTAAAGTTAAATTGATGAGCCAGTCAAAGAAAAAACTTTTTTTCAAATCAAGTTTTAAAAAAGGAATGCATAACAGACTTGTTTTTTAATTTTTCCCCTTTTCTGAACTAAGCGTCCTCTTTTATAGTGTAATGCTTCGTTTTATAATCTTAGAAATTAAGGCTAAACATTTTTGGATTAACCTAATCAATTTGCGTAAAATTTGTTTTAACAACCCAACGTTAAAAAAACAAAAGCCGGCTCTTTTCAAACCCCCACCATTCATATTTTCTTGTTCCATAGTCGCTTTTTTTGTGTTTTAATGGCTAAACATTTCGACAGATATTGATTCCCGGGTTCAAATTAACCTACTACGCTTTATTTCATTTTCTACAAAATTACCATAAAACATCTCTGATGACTTCATTCAGTAAGTCACGAAGCCTGCAGACACTCCAGCTGAAACATTGTTTCAAATTTAGAGAACATCGAAATTTGAAACAACTTTGGCACAATCTCAAACTCTGCCTGTCTAGAAAACGGTTAAAAATATGGGACAATTCTGTGGAAGTAAAAATCTTCATGAATGAATAACTGAAGAGTGAATCACAGATACTATAAAAACAGTCAATCCAACAAAAAAACAATAAAGTCAAAACCTGATTAAAAGAGCAAAAAAAGGAAATAAAAAAGAATTATTTTCTTATGTTTTGAGTTTTTAGAAAAAAAGGAGGCATTTTATACTGAGGCGAACAGTTTGGTTCAATAACTGGAATCGATTTCAGACAAAAATTGTTTGTTTGAGCTAAAATCTGATTGAAGCTGAAAGAAATGTTAAAACTAATACGATATTTTCTCTTTATGATAGTTTGATTTTTTCCTTGCAAAGACTAATTCAAATAACTAAAATAGAGAAAATTGTGAAGGGCAGAAAGTGCAGGAAAAACTTAAAGGGCAGAAAAAACTTAAAGGGCAGACAGTGAAGGAAAAAGTTAAAGGGCAGAAAAAACTTAAAGGGCAGAAATTGCAGGAAAAACTGAAAGGGCAGAAAAATTTAAAGGGCAGAAAGTGCAGGAAAAATTTAGAGGACAGAAAAAACCTAAAGGGCAGAAAGTGCAGGAAAAATTTAAAGGGAAGAAAAAACTTTATTAGCAGAGAGTGCAGGAAAAATTTAAAGGGCAAAAAGGGCAGGAAAAACTTAAAGGGCAGATAGGGCCAGAAAAAAACTGTACTCAATGTTTAGATTTTCATGGAGTTTGCCAACCATTTTCAAGAAAAATTATAAATGTTTTTTGGAATTTTTTGAACAGAATATGAAACATTCTTTTGGCACCTTTTTTTCAATTCCGCAGTTACGTTTATAACTTCCACGCACTTTTAATTATTGGTAAAGTTAAATTGATGAGCCAGTCAGTGAAAATACTTTTTTTCAAATCAAGTTTTAAAAAAAGGAATGCATAACAGACTTGTTTTTTGATTTTTCCCCTTTTCTGAACTAAGCGTCCTCTTTTATAGTGTAATGCTTCGTTTTATAATCTTAGAAATTAAGGCTAAACATTTTTGGATTAAGCTAATCAGTTTGCGTAAAATTTGTTTTAACAACCCAACGTTAAAAAAACAAAAGCCGGCTCTTTTCAAACCCCCACCATTCATATTTTCTTTTTCCATAGTCGCTTTTTTTGTGTTTTAATGGCTAAACATTTCGACAGATATTGATTCCCGGGTTCAAATTAACCTACTACGCTTTATTTCATTTTCTACAAAATTACCATAAAACATCTCTGATGACTTCATTCAGTAAGTCACGAAGCCTGCAGACACTCCAGCTGAAACATTGTTTCAAATTTAGAAAACATCGAAATTTGAAACAACTTTGGCACATTCTCAAACTCTGCCTGTCTAGAAAACGGTTAAAAATATGGGACAATTCTGTGGAAGTAAAAATCTTCATGAATGAATAACTGAAGAATGAATCACAGATACTATAAAAACAGTCAATCCAACAAAAAAACAATAAAGTCAAAACCTGATTAAAAGAGCAAAAAA